ACCTCAGCTGCCCGCAGGGGGCGTGGGACCCTCAGTGCAGCTGCCGGGGCCGTTACCGCCTCCACGGCGAGGCTCCCCGTCACATCTGTCAGCGCCAGCGCGTCAGCAGCCCACAGCGACGTCCAGACACAGGGTGACCCATATGCCCAGGGGCCTCTGTCCCATCCTCGAGGAGGAGCCTGGGACTGAGGGGGCTGGTTGGAGGCAAATGTGTGCCAGGGGACCTCCTATCGGCGTCACAGTGCAGGTCTGTGGGGAGGAGGGGATGTGATAGAAGCTACACCGTATGTGGGGGATGGGCGTGGCCCCCCCACCTGACACCCCACCTGACGCCCCACCTGACTCCCCCACCTGACGCCCTCACTGTACCTCCTGCTGCCCACCCCCCCAGCCCCTTCCACTGAGTCTCTGTCCAGTATGGACAGTCTAGGGCAGGGGTCCTCACACTTTTTAAACAGGGGCCAGTTCACTGTCCCTCAGACCATTGGAGGGCCGGACTACAGTTTAAAAAAAACTATGAACAAATTCCTATGCACACTGCACATCTTATTTTGAAGTAAAAAACCAAAACGGGAACAAATACAATATTTGTATTTGCATGTGGCCCGCGGGCCGTAGTGTGAGGACCCCTGGTCTAGGGAGAGAGAAGTGGGAACAGACAAGACGGTTTCAGGGGGAGAATCAGCCTTTACTGCGGTCACCGTCGGCTGGTGCCTTCCTTCTTATAAACAGATTTTTGTTGGTTTCAGAGAGAGGAAGTGGGTGGGAGAGGGAGAACCATCAATGTTGAGAGAGAGTCATGGACCGGCCGCCTCCTGCAGGCCCCGCACTGGGGATGGAGCCCACAACCCGGGCCTGTGCCCTGACCGGGAATCGGACCTTGAGCTCCTGGTTCCTAGGTCGATGCTCAGCCATGGAGCCCATGGGCCGGGCACCTGTGCTGTGCGTTCAGCCACCAATCCTCCCAGAATTCCTGAGTCACACGCGGAGCCCTGACAACCCGAGTTCCAGGAGACACAGACGTGGACAGCCTCTGTCCCTGTATTTTAACCTCAAAGAGCGTAAACACACGCCTATGCGGGCGTGTGAACATGTAACACACTCCCACGGCTGATCTATGAAAATGACATGTTTCAGAAGCTGCCTGTGCAGTAATTCGACGCCCGCCTGATTCTGGGGGACAGGCCGTGTGCCCTGACTCCGCTGAGCTCTTCCTCCACAAAATGAACCGGAAGCACCTGCGACACCACAGGCTCAGGACAGTGGCTTTACGCGGCTTTAAATTCCAGCCTTAAAAAGTACATCGGTCTCTTCCTCTCTCTCTCATATGCCCCCTTGGAGACCTAGT